TTTAATTGGCTCCCAATTGGTGGCCTCCACAACAGTTCAAAAAGTCAATGAAACTTTCGGGATTAGGCGCTTCTCTTCCTTGGGTAAGTTCAATATTTCTCAAATTTGGCAAAAAGTCTGTAGAGATTCTCAGTCATCCGGGTCATGGTTGTCCCAAAGGTGCTTTTTCAGGAGGCAACTGGACTTCCTTGTTTTTTCTTGTGAAGACATTTTGCTTCTCACCCAAGAAGCTTCTTCACCTCTGACACGATAGTGGGGAATGGAAGGATAATATTCCTTCCCATTCCATATTCTTGCCTGCAAGGAATATAATCCTTTCATTTCCCACTATCCTGTTAGATCTGAAGAATCTTCTTGGATGAGAAGCGACACGTCTTCAAAGAAAAAAACCAGAAAGTTCAGTTGCCTCCAGAAAAAGCACCTTTGGGACAAACTTGGCAACTAAAATATGTGGACTTCTCATGGATTCCCCAAGCCAGTGGAAGTCCACCCATGTTAAAAGTTGCGAAGGTTGAGAAACACTTCTCCAGAGCATGCGCAGACATGAAGATAACAGCTGTTGGCAACGCCTGAAAGCAGGCGCACCTTTTCTCAGGAAAATGGGTCTGCAGCATAATCCTGGGAAAAGGCATGTTTTGTTTAAGGAGTTGCCAACAGGTGCTACCTGTGCACCTACATGCATTCTGACACACCTTTTTTTCCTTTTGGTTCTAAAGGGCTGCACAATTCTATGAAGTATGTTGTCCTGTTGAGAGCAATAGGATGTAATCTTAATGCAAAGTCTACCAAAGTCTACATTCAGCAAATCTTCCCGCCGGTAGGACAGCATCTAACTACTGTTTGTAGGCATATCTTTACTTTTAGGTTTGCTTGATGTTGTGGCAATCCAACCACTGTGGATTGCAAAACACGATTAATGACCACAGCTGCATTTGGACATCTCGAGGATGCAACTTATAGATGGGCCTCAAATGTTCAAACTCTTAAGGTTTGGAGGACTTTAAGAGATGAAATAAATATATTAAGACTTGCTTTAAGGCAACCGTTGTGCCAATAGCATCCCACCCCTCCCCAGAATAAACTGATTTGAGAAAGCAAAGTGTTAGAGCAGGGGTGTCAAACTCGTTGCCTGCGGGCTGGATGCATCACATGCTGGCCACACCCATGCCAGTTTAATCAAAGGGAGGAAAGTCACGATACATTGTGTGATGACAATGTGATACTGTGAGTTTGACACCCCTGTGTTAGAGGGTAAAATATTTAAACGGTAATGATTTTGCTCCTTAATTATTATTTTTTAAAATGTTTAATGCACTGGAGGCTCAGCAGATGATCAGGGGGATGATAAATTGATTCTGGGAGTCCACATTTACTTTACAAAATGCAAGTTATCCATCTTTGGCTTGGTGTAATGCTTGAAGGGACGCAGTGGCTCAGTGGCTAAGACACTGAGCTTGTCAATCAGAAGGTCGGCAGTCCAGCAGTTCAAATCCCTAGTGCCACATAACGGAGTGAACTCCTGTTACTTGTCCCAGCTTCTGCCAACTTAGCAGTTCGAAAGCATGTAAAAATGCAAGTAGAACATTAGGAACCTCCTTTGGTGGGAAGGTAACAGCGTTCCGTGCACCTTCGGTGTTTAGTCATGCCAGCCACATGACCACGGAGATGTCTTCGGACAGCGCTGGCTCTTTGGCTTAAAAACAGAGATGAGCACTGTCCCCTAGTGCCGGAAACAACTAGCACACCTGTGCGGGGGAACCTTTTAATGCTTGATTCCAGTCACTGTGGCTTGTTCAGCCAGCCACAGCTTAACATAGTATTTGAATTCAGTAATACAAATTGTTTGTCTTCCCCCACAGTGTAAATTTTCCATGAAAAAGTGTGTTTATCACATTCCCTGTAAAGATTAGTTCTGCAATATTCTTTTCCTATGCGATGGCTTGAACCCTGTTATATAGGAAGGAAGGAAGGAAGGAAGGAAGGAAGGAAGGAAGGAAGGAAGGAAGGAAGGAAGGAAGGAAAGATATTCATTCCGTTTTAGTTTGTCAATAGTTCAATTTGTTTTTTCATAGATAAGTGCCAGGGAACAAAATAAGTCCAGGAATTACATCCATCTTTGCCCCAAGATTTAATCCAAAATTAGGTGTTTTTTCCCCCCCTTCCACCAGCAGAGAAATAAACCTGTGTGAAAGAAGGAATTTAAATTTTAAAAATGCTGATGTAAGCTGAGCCATAGCGGTGTGAACAAACTGCTAAAATACTTTTGAGAATCCTGCTACTCAGAGATAAAGACAGCGCTAGGATATCTTGTAAAAAAAAGAGAATGTTTTCCCCATAATTCGTGATAGGTATGATTTAGTACTTGGAGTTTGTTAAAGGCTCTTTATCTTGCTCCTCTGCTCCCTGGTGAAGGAACAATGCCAAATGTGCTAATAGAAGCAAGGAGGGTTGGCCTAAGGAAGTAACATGCAAAAGTAAAAAGACCATGCACGCTTAGAAAAAGCACAAAGCACAAGTCCTGGATTTTCTTACCAGCAAATGTGAACTTTTATTACCTACCGCAGAAGATGAGATTTGAAAATAGCATTAAATATGCCTTTACAGTCTCTAGAGTCTGTTTGGAAGCTCTAGCTGATGAAAATAATTGATTTTTTTTTAAATATATACATATAAAAGATGTAGAAACAGACTTCCAGAAGATTGTTTAATCTTCACACTTTTGCCACCTGGCAAAGTGTGCCTGGCTTCAACAATGCTTTTTATTTTTAAAAAAAATTCAGGCACTGAGAAGAAGAAAAGTCTTGTATCTGAGAGGAGAAGTAAGATTTAGAAGGGTAAGCAGCTGAAAATGTTAGACGTAGAATTGGAGATCGAAGCGAGAAAACTCACTAGGTCACAGTAACCAGTTCTCTGGCAGTGTTTCTCTCCCACTTGTCATGTCTGTGTGCAGAGGGAATAAAAACATCTTTGTTGTTAATGAAAAACAGTTNCCCATCAGCCAGTGTTGGCTGGTTGGGACTAGAAGATGTGTGTGTGTGTGTGTGTGTGTGTCCCGCAGTGCCCCTTGCTCTATGAAGCATTCTCCCTTCAGAGATTCAACCTTCCTCAGCCTTTGTAAGGTGCTAAAAACCTGGATGCTTCTGAGCTTGAGGTGTTGCATGTGTTAAAGACCCCTCTTCCTGGCTGCATCACTTCCTGGCCAAGTATCTTGGCTGCTATGTACATATATTAATTTTGGAAGTTGCTATTATTTGTAACATGCTTTTAGTATTTTGATTTTCTGAATTGTAAGCTGCCCAGTCATTGACTGAGATGGGCAGCTATAGAAAGTGAATGAATGAATGAATAATTCTCCATAAATATTAGATTTACATCCCACTTGTATGTATTCACTGAGACTGCACATATAGTTTTGCCTTTTCTAATTGTATCACCCTCAGCAATCCTATAAAGTGAGTTAAATTTTGAGACATATTGGCTAAGTTTTGAGTTAAGACGATAAGCTTTCACCCTCGACTCTGGAATTGAACCTTATCTCATACCTTTTGGGAATTACTCTAAATTAACTGTTATTAATCTTTTTATCTTTCAATTTAGGAAACATTTTTTTCCATTCTATACCAAAAAAAAGTCAGTACAAATCTAAGAAAACTAACCTTCTAGCTTTATTTGAAAAGAGATCTTGGAAAAGAAGTCCTTAAAAAAAAAAGATAAGCATAGGCAAGCCTCTTCATTTCACGTTGCAGTAAGATTTGACTCTAGTTTTGCCATGGTTACTTGAATAAGAATGCTTCTAATGCAGATTACTGTTCTCCATGGGCGTCAGAAATATATTCTTATTTAGCAGAGCCTAGACTTACATATAGAAAACACATTTTTATATTAGAGGCAAGATAACTGAACGTTCATTCCAACCATACTTTTTTTTAAAAACTCAGAAGGGATATTATATCATTCTAATAAAGTATGTCTACCTTGCTATCTTATTATTGTCTTGGAAAATTGCTCCTTTCACTGGGATATGCTTGTAATTTGTAGAGATTACTTTTATTACAAACATGCTATCTTTTGTCTGCAGACATCATTTTCCAAATCAGCATTTCTTATATTTTATACAATGGCTTTTATTTTATAAAAATAGCATATTATTTTGATTATTCTAATAAATGCATCAAAAAATTATTACAGTGGTACATACCAATAAACTAATGCTGTATCTGTACACTGTTTTTACAAGAAAAAAGATATTGTACTCTATATAATGAAAAGATAACAGTTCCAAAGGAATATGAAATAGAAAGTAAATGATATCATATGCTCTTAAGAGGAAAAAGTTCCAGGTCCTCGGAGTCAGTGTTTTCAATACTCCTCCCTAGTCATAAAATATACATTCTTGAGCAATGCCATAAGTTAACTTTTACTAATATATATCCCCTACTATATTAAGATTAAACTGTCAGAATTCCGCACCAATTCTGTCAAAAGAACTACATACATGTGTCTTACATTATATCTAAAATGAATGTTACTTTTCTTCTGCTGAAAACAAACTATGTAAGCATTTGTCAACATCTAGCAAAAGTTACAAATCATAATAATCAATTCTCCCAGTTCTGTGAGACTAAAATATATAAATAATTAGTTCATTGTCTACCAGAATAATTCATTTATCATAGCTGCCCCCAGCCAAATTTAAACCAAATATTAGGTTTGTTACATGCATGATGTAACAGGATTGCTAAAACCCAACCCTTCTCAGATTCCAATCCCATTATATAGATTTTATGTTGCCATTTCTGAACACACCACAAAGCGGGGAAACAAATAAATGCACTTTGAAGTTGTTTAAAAACCTGCCCCCAAAAAACAGAAGCATATTTACTATTTTAGCTACACCTAGACCAACACTGCTCTGGAGATAACATTTCTCAGATTTTTGGTTTCATTTTAAAGAGTGACCAATTCTAATAATACTTTAACATATACACACACACACACAATAGAGTGTCAAGTCTTTTTATTGCTTCACGTTTCTGAAAAAGGGATGCAGCAAAGCCTCCTTTGCTGTCATTCTTGTAGCAGGACTTAAGTCCAATAGTTTATCAAGGAGATCATAGGCGCTATTAGGAACTCTATCCCATCCTTTGGGATCAGATGACTTTTGTAAAGTTTTCTTTTCTTTACCACCATCTTCGTGAGTGCTTTGTTTTTGATATTGTATGTGCTTTTTGGATGCATGAAAGGCAGAATCTGACACGTTGCCTATTCCAACTGTTAAAGGAAATTCTTGAGAAGGATGCATCTGTACATCACCTGCCGAGTTGTCAAAGTTGGTAGTTTTCCCCCTCAGCCTTTCACAGAGTTTCTTTAAATCCTGTGCTGGGATTTCTTTGCTACACAGGATTGATTTACCTAAATGAAAAGCACTTGTTAGAAGGTTCTTCAGAAGGCATTTTTTTACAACAGCGTCCAACACTTCAATTAGAGAGTTTAAATAGCAGCCGCTGGTCCCTTAGTGGAACCAAGTTTTTAAAAGTGGAACATTGATTTTGCTCTTCCAAATTTTACATGTATAAACCTGAGATGCAGGCAATTGATTTTCCAGACTGCTATTTCGCAAGGAAATTCAGAACAGCAAACATTGCTAAGACAATTTACATTTACATTTTACATTTTATTATGCATTTATAGGCCGCCTTTTTCCCCGAGGGGACTCAGGGCGGCTTACAATAAAAGGGGAAGGGGAGTGTAGGACAAGTACAAAAAGAAATGTGAGCAAAAATAAATTAAACAATAAAACACAACATTCACTCGACATTCGGGAGGGGCTAAAGTAAAGTCTTATCCCCAGGCCTGACGGGCTAGCCAGATCTTGAGGGCTGTGCGGAAGGCCTGGACGGTGGTGAGGGTGCGGATCTCCACGGGGAGATTGTTCCATAGCATCGGAGCCGCAACAGAGAAGGCTCTCCTCCGAGTAGTCGCCAGTCGGCACTGACTGGCGGATGGAATACGGAGGAGGAGAATTCTTATAGAATTCATTGGAAATATTAGATACACAGCTATGGGTAAGTATGTAGTCAATAGTACAAGTGCATTGTACCAGACTGAGACAATATCTCTATATAACGTCACGGAGAGAGAGGGAGAGAGGGAGGGAGAGGGAGGGAGAGAGAGAGGGAGAGAGGGAGAAAGAGGGAACACATCTCACATCGTTATGTATGTATTCCTGGAAAAAATAAGTGATGCTGTCGAATTCTGGATTGATTGTCCTGCATATGTTGGTCCCACTGTGCATGACTGTGAAGATACAGCAGCCAAGAGTCGACTTAGCCAGACCTCAACTATGCAATTCATGGCTGCACTCACCTCATCAACTGGAAACCCTTGAAACTGTGTTGCTAGAAATGGATGTGTTCTTTCACAGCCTAAACAAAGCAGCCTATTCTATTCTGTACCTGTACCTATAAAAGTCAGACCTACAAGTTTTGTTTTAAGTGTGGAATTCTCAAACCAGCTGTTTCAAGCTTAAAATATCTTTGAGCTACTCTGCACTATCCTATGAAGGAAGATGCAGAAGACCGATCTACTGAGCAATTCTAATATTAGAGGCGCAGAAGACACTACAAGGTGACACAATATCCAAGAGCAAAGACTTAACTGTCACTATCAACAGTGAGTCTGTATTTTTTGTTGTTGCTTTTATGGATATGGGGGAAATCTATTGTTGTGGCCCACCAGCAGAGCTGGCAGCAGATTCAGAGGTTGGGGAGGAACATGAGGAGGTTGGAGAGGAAGATGGGCCAGTCCTGGAGTCTGGGGAAGGCTCTGATGAGGGCTCTGTGTCGGAGGCAGAGAGGGGGCCAGGGCCGTATGCCAGTTTTGAGCTGCTTTCAGAGTCAGACATTAGTGAGGCAGATGAACAGCTGGAGCCTGTTCCCAGTGTGCGCATGCGCAGAATTGCCAGACGAAGGGAACAGCTAAAGAACAGGGGTCGACTTGGGAGTAAGGCCACAGGTGGACGATGAATGGCTCCTCCCAGAGGAAATAAAAGAGGAGCGAAAGAGGAGTGGAGTTTGCAGGAGACAATTAGTTTTCTTAACTGGCTCATGACTCTCCGAGACTCCTTGCCAAGTTTTGCAGATATTGGCTTGGCAGGTCTCAAAGCCGGACAAGGTATGTGATTTTAAATCCCCCTTGAAAGACTTTGCTGTATGTGAATGAGCATAATTCACAGTAAATTAATAAAAGGGTTTTTTTGTCAAGACCAGGCGTTTGCTTCATGCTCTTGGGAAGCCTAGGTCAGAACATCTATAATAAACCTTTTAATTTGGTGAAAAGTTATTAGCCCCACATATCTGAAATGTATTCAAGCTGAATATCTGTGGCTCTTTGGAGTGCAGCAAAAGCAGCACTGACACTATGGCTTTTATTTTATCTGTTTAATTTTCACTGCAGTGCCAAATATGCACTATGTTTACTGAATTGCTGATTCGGCCTTAATAGGATTTTGTTGACAGATTTAGAAACATTTTCCCCCATCATGATCTTTTATTGTGGTAAGCTGATGTTTGGTGCAAAATACTTTGCACAAATCTCTCTGGATGATTATCAGATAACTACAACTAAACACCTTAAGTAGAACGGAAAATGAGGAACGTCAGCCAGGTGAAGGAATCCTGGGAATTGAAGTCCTTCTGTTGGCAGTCCTTCTGTGGAGAATGCAAGTAATCCTCAACTTACAATTCATTTAGTGACTGTTCAAAGTTACAATGGCACTGAAAAAAGAGTGACCATTTTTCACACTTACGTTGCAGCATCTCCATGGTCACATGAGCAAAATTCAAAGGCTTGGCGACTGACTCCATTAATGACTTTGTGGCTTTTGTGATCATCTTTTGCGACATTCTGACAAGCAAAGTCAATAAGGGAACCAGATTCACTTAACAACCATGTTACTAAGTTAACAACTGCAGTGAGTCACTTAACAGTGGCGAGAAAGGTTGTAAAATGGGGCAAAACAAATGTTTCACTTAGCAACAGAAATTTTGGACTCAGTTGTGGTCATTAAGTCAGGGTCTACCTGTACCACTATTGAGAAATGCAGCAAAAAGAAGTCTGGTTTACAATTCTGGGAAAGGAGAATACAAAGCTTGAGGAGGAGAGATTCAGAGCCAATAACGTTGATTAGACTTAATTAGCCACATATTTGCCTGCAGTCTTTTCATTTCACAAACTGAATGCCACTAATTTAATTTGTATGTTTGTTTCCTATGGGATTATTTAGAAGCCTGACATGATTTAAGGAATTTGGTCCTGACATTTAGATGAATGAATTCCAATGCTATTTTATCTGAAGCTATGTAGAAATCCATGAACATAATCCTAATTATCTACATATAGGCAAATAATACGTTAGTTACAAACAGGTTCGAAAAAGAATAACAAAGCCTGCGTACCAAATGTTTTAGCAGCTTGAATGGTTTCTCTGGAGCCACGAATAGTCATGATCTGCGCCAAAGCTGTTAAATCATCGCTAGCCTTGTAAAATGGATACCGACCACTCAACAGAGAGAGAAAGATAATTCCTGCAGACCACATGTCAATTGCTGCAAATAGAAGCAAGGCTTTAGTAACAATGACTAGTTGTTCCAATTTATTCCCAATGTTAAAAAAACAATCTAAGGAGTCAAAGCATATTATATATAGTATTTTATATCGTTAAATATAAGACTGCTGTCTTTCCCAGGATTTCTTTGGCTTTTCATATTTTATAATCTTTCCCAAATGAACTTCAGGAAGAACCAAGCAAGGACAAAGGATCTGCAATTATAAATATTCAATGCAATTTATGAAGAGAAAAGGGTAAAACAAGCCGTTGTGGAAAGATCAATGAAGGAATTAGTTCAAAATTAAGTGATAGCAAAATGTTTCTCATAAGCCTGAATGTATATGACTTTTTTGGGGGGGAGAAAACGTGGCCTCCTCACTATCCATTTCATTGCAATAAAAGTATTGATCCTAAAAGACATCAATAGACATTAGACATTACTGTTTCAGCAGCAGCAGTTTTTTTAAAAAAAGAAAACATATTGTAGAATTCAGATACGCTGACTAAAACAGCATCAATTTAGATGAGGTTTTCTGACAGACAGGTGGAGGTAATATTAATATTCCCAAAATGCTTAAGTTCCTCATCTAACAGCCAGTTTCCATCTGCTTAAAAATAACAAATATTTTTGTCAGTTTGAAACTCTAAAAAAATCTGCCTGCAAGAATATTATAATTAAGCTTGCCAGCATGCTAATGAATGCTATATATTCAGAACAAGGGCTTTAAAAAAAATCAGCACAAAACTAAAATCACTTGAACTTTCTACTTTTTCTCTTTTGTTTAAAATAGAAACATCGTAGTAAATATTTCGGAGAGAGATAGTTTCCATCCAAGGTTTTTATTTTAGCTAAGAAGTTTTAACAGAACAACATTTTAACAGCTTTAATAGATTAAGTAGCTTGTGTAATTTATTGTACCTGTAGTTTGATTAGGGCACTTTGTTAATACTTCTGGTGCTCTGAATCCAGGAGTACCTGCCCTTGGGGCAACCTGCTGACGTCTTGGGGTTAAATAGAAACAAATTAAAAAGTAGTAACATACAATTAGAACATCCCATAACCAAAGTACTTTCTAGATCAGGCCCACTCTACTCATTGAGGTCAAAGGGCTGTATGGATACATTAAAAATCCTCATGGGCCACACAAAGAAATTACTGGAATGATGATAATGTAGTTTGGGGAACAGTGGAAATTCTGGAGCCGCTGGTGATAGAATGTTGTTTGTGATTGCTGTAAGTTTACTATTTTTTATTAAAAAGGTCTACAGGCCACACAAGGCTGCTTGGTGGGGCACATGTTACCTGTATATTGTGCGGGCCTGATCTAGGATGTACTTTTACATGGTGTTATTAGACATCTAGCAAGATAATAGGACAGATTTCCAACATTCTGCGATTCAACTCCCGAATTCTCTGCCAGCACAGTCAAAGGCCAACTTGGAAGCCTAAAAATTGAACATGTCACACACCCAGAGGCACCATGTTAAGGAAGATTGTTCTAATATCTTGCTTTCTGGCTGCAACATTTTAAAATGTTTACTTCTCCTATATTGGGAAATTCACCACGTGGATGACTCTGCTTAAATGTTTTTTAAAAANGTGGTGGGTTCTGGATCCCGTTGCAACCAGTATGCTGCGACGAGGCTGGGCGTCCACCATGTGCATGCGTACTCTGCACACATGCACACCCACCACCCATGATGCTCCAGCTGCTTGGCGGAGCATCGCACAGGCACCATATGTTGCATGTGCATATGCAAATGGCTCGGTTGTGTCAAACACAGCTCAGGAACCCAGGCAGGCGGGTGGGCCCTGTGAAGCACCATACCGGAACGGTGCCTGCTGCTCCCAGCAGGCAGCTGTACACCCGTATTGGGGCATACCAGCCGGGACCCACCACTGACACACACCATACCTATACGTTTCACAGACATTAGAACTATATTTGAAAAGATATTTTCCATAACCAGCCAGTTCCATATACCAATTCGATACATTTTCTGGAGAATTAAAAAGAAACCATATTCCTAATACTTATTATAAATCCCTTCCCATGGTCAATCAAAGAGATTGTCAGTAAATCCTTGTAAAGGCTTTGTAGAGGTGTGTGATTTATTCTGCAGGGCACTACCTTTGCTTATCTGTATACTACTAAAACTCTAGTGGTTTGCAACCTTTAATTGGGTGAAATGTTGCAAACCGCCAATGGGTTAACTTAACAGAAAGCATCCAAAATCTGGGACTCATGATTCCTATGGGATTGAAATTTGACGAAGTTGTGGCTGCTTCACTGCTCCATGCCATCATGGTCAGCTATGGTTATGTGACTGTCATTTTCAATCTTTCTTTCTTTCTTTATTATTTATTTGTCAACAAGTACAAGGAAACAAGTATGAAAACACATGGAAAAAAATGGCACAAATAAATGGATATAAATAAGCAAAACATAGCCATAAACACATAAAAAGGGTACATATAAATGGGGACAGAAAGACAGGGACGGTAGGCATGCTGGTGCACTTATGCACATCCCCTTAGGGACCTCTTAAGAAACGCGTAAGGTTCATGGTAGACAGCTTAAGGTAAAAGGTACGGGGGTTAGAGGAGCTAACAACAGGATCAGGCAGGGTGTTCCACACATTTACTACTCTATTGCTGAAATCGTTTTTTCTGCAATCAAGATTAGAGCGGATTACATTTAGTTTGTATCTATTGATAGCCCTTGTGTTATTGCAGTTGAAGTACAAGTAGTCATTAACAGGTAGGACGTTATGGCAGTAGAGCCGAGGTGGCGCAGTACTGCTAGAGTGCAGTACTGCAGGCCACTTCAGCTGACTGCTAGTTCAGTAGTTCAGCGGTTCAAATCTCACCGGCTCAGGGTTGACTCAGCCTTCCATCCTTCCGAGGTGGGTNGGACCCGGATTGTTGTTGGGGGCAATATGCTGACTCTGTAAACCGCTTAGAGAGGGCTGAAAGCCCTATGAAGCGGTATATAAGTCTACTGTTCTTGCTATTGTTATTGCAGACAGCTAGTCATTTGCATCCTTTTAGAGGGCCGTTGAAAGCACTTGGAGGTTTATCTGTCTTTCAGCTGTCTGCAAGGAACATAAATCCTTCCATTCCCCACTATCCTGTCAGAGCTGAAGAAGCTTCTTGGATGAGAAGCGAAACATCTTCAAAAGAAAAAAACAAAACCAAAACAAGTCCAGTTGCCTCCTGAAAAAAGCACCTTTGGGACAACCAGGACCAGGATGACTGAGAACCTCTAGACTTTTGGAAATTTGCCTTATTCCCTGAGGAAAGCCACTTCTTGGGACTGAAGTAACTTTTTCTTCAGTAACCTTGTAGTATCAAAGTCCTTTAAATAAGGACACGGCTGAGACATTACCTCATCCCTATATATTTTATATATAAAATTCCCTCAGAACGCAGTTCTTTTACTCCCTGCAAGCAAAAGGCCGGTTATTACCTGAGGAAACGACTCCCCCACCCTCGCTCCCTATCCTACAGCGTCTAAAAATCAGAATTACCTCAGAGAGCAGCAAATAAATAAATAAATAAATAAAATGTACCTCGTTGCCTAAGGATAAGAGGGCAAAAAGGAGCTACAGCTGTTGTTTACTCTCCCACACCTACCAAACACTGTTTCCCTGGAAAAGGAGGGAAAAGCGCGCGCGCGCGCTTCCTCCCCTCAGACTTGCTCACCCCTTTCGCAGACTTTACCCCTCCCCTTTCTTTCGCCCGAAAGAAACAGATCGGCCAATCCGAGGGCTTCCTCGGTTTCCAGGCTAGCCAATCACACAACGGTGAGGGAAGGTAGGAGAGGCAGTCCGAGAGTATTGGGCGGGAAGCGGCGCGCGCGGGTCCGCTCTCCGGGCGGTTGCCATGGAGACGGCGGGAAGCAGCACGCGCGCGCCGCTGCGATGCGGTTGTGCAAACTCTGGGAGTCTGGCCGTATTAAGGCAGCCAGGGACGCACGATCTGTTCGTGTGCAATGCCGTCTTTCCAGTTCTGGCATGGGGTGTTGATTGGGATCGTCCCTTCTGCTGTAGCACATCTGCGGTTGGAAGATCTCCGCTCAGAATACCTTTTATTAAAACAAAAACCTCAAAACTGTTTAACGTGTACGGTCTAGGGCAGTGTTTCTCA